CGAGTACAATCATCGGCTGATGAGAAAGCAAAGCTTTCTTAATTTCACTCACTCTCATGAAGAAATTTGTGTTTGATCTCACGAGTATACTCTCAAAGGTCTTTTTCTGAGTTTCTCTCGAAACCTCACAAATTTTTGAGTGAACTACCTCATGGTCACACATTTTGAATTGTTTCTTCTCCAATGGTAACTTGCTCGTCATGTTTGTGAAACTTTTTCCAACAATTAAGTTTTCCTGTTGCACAAACACTTCTTCTTTTTCTTCCAAATCAGGTGTTATTCTATCCAGAAATAATTCTTTGCTTGCACCAATTGGGTCTTCAACCTCATCTCGAGATGCAACTGACCGAGTTGCAACTATATCATCAGCTTCGACCAATCCATCTTCAGATACATCCGACTTTGTGTTAACCTCAAGAACAACTTCTCCATCATCCAAACATTGTAACTCACAAGGCTTAGGATGCGTAAATATTGGCTCTTCCAATTTATCTTTTATCACAACAATACCAGCATTTGAAGCATTGTGTTCATCAAGCATATGTGCAATTTCATTTGACTCCGATTGAACTGCAACATTGGCCTTGATCTCAATTTCTCCAGCCTCATGAAGTCTCTTTGATTGCCAATTTGTACATTCATTCCCAGAGTGTCCTCTGCCCAAACACATATAACACAAAATATCTTGGGTTTGTGATTGAGAAGTTCCAGATGTACCTTTGCTTCTTGGCTTGAAAACTTTAGATTTGGTTATAACTTTTGCATTGGAATCAAACCGTCCTTCCTGTGAAAAGTTTGGTTGTATGCTAGATGAACCAAAACCAAATCTCTGATGTGCTTTTCCTGCAATTTCTTCTCTTCCATGAGAAAAAATTGGATGAGTTGTGCATCTCCTTGACATATTTTGCTGTCGCCGGTGTTGTGCGACATATGTCTCATTCTCCATTCGATCCATACGTTGCAGATATGGCTCGATGCGCTGAAGAATAGTACGTTCAAGACGGGCCATCAAAACTTGCATCTGCAATGGACTCAAACCATTTCCACCTCGGTTTTGCTCAACATCTTGATAGGTTTGTTCAACCATCGCAAATTCCTTGCAAATAGAACGTTAGCAATAAACAGAAGTAGACAAGGAAGTAAGAAGATGTAAGAACCTCACAAATCACTCAGAAAAGTGTTTCGCTCAATTTGTCACTCAACTCTCATATTTCTCTTATGAATCCTTATGCAAACTAATTAAGGAACTCAATCATATGTAACAACAATGAAATTCAAAACTCAGCTCACTAAACCAAGTCAAAAGATGAGTAAGAAGGACTGCAAATCAGCAAGTCAAAATTCCAAAACAACAAAAACTCAAACGACTCGGAGACGAAACTTCGCCTACGACTCAAACGAATTTTTTTTCTTCTTACTGCGACTCAATGGAAAATGCAACTCAATGGAAAATAAGACTCCGACTCAAAATCGAATCAACTTCGCCTTTTCTTTTTTTTTTCTCTTTTTTTTTCTCTTTTTTCTCTTTGTTTTTTTATCTTTTTTTTTGTTTTTTTCTTTTCTTCGAAATTTTTTTTTTTATTTTTTTTCTTCGATCTCCTTTTTTTTATTGATTCCCTTTGCACTTTGAACTGCAGCAAAATCAAAAGTCGGAAATAAAAAAAATGATAAAGAAATGACAAAGAAAAAAACAAGATAAGATGATGAGGACATCGGAGCTAGCAGCTTGGACAAAGACGGGAGCGACGGGAGCTTAACAGAAGGAGCTAGCTTGGACGAGGATGGGAGCTTAACGGAAGGAGCTCTAGAAGATGTTGAAGACTTGACCCATCACGCGTCAAGCCCCTTGCCGGATGATCATAACGTCACAAGATCATTCGAAGCCGCGGGAACGGGAATTAACGTGCACAACGCGAAGGCTCCCCGAGCAACCCATAGAGCCGAACCACCACTTACTCGTGCTAGAGCTAGAGCACTTCGTGTCACACTAAACAAGGTCGTCAATGACATTCTTAGCGGATCCCGAGAGTCCAATGACAACACTTCACTCTTCGGACGCGATTCGGCCCGAAACTTGCTTACACTCGAAGAATGCATCTCCTAAGGCCCAAGCGAAGCCCATGGGCCTTAACCCAGCAAGAATCTCGGCCCATATGAAGCTACAACAGCTATATTTTGTTGTTTGTTCCAACTTTAAAAGCTAAGCTTGCATGTAAGCTAGCATTTAATGCTTTGACTACTTAAACTCTTCTTCCAACTTTGTAATCTTCAGCACACTTGATCATTTTTGCAATTGAACTTTGTTTGAGACATCTTTCTCTCTCAAAACTTGGCTGGTTTGTCCGCCTCCTCCTGCACGAGTCGCCGGTGTGTCCGCTGCCCGTGTCGCCGTCCGGTGTGTCCGACGGCCCCCGTTGAGCTCGGTTAGTCTGGCTCTTCCTCCTTGGTTTGTCCGAGGATCTATCCATCCCTCCATCTCTTCCATAAGCTGATTCTAATCCGAATTCGAGAGCCACTTCGTGAGCCGGTGATTGGGTTAGAATTCCGTTCGATCATCCCTTGTTTTGTTCGTGTTTGAACCGCGAATTCGAGAGCCACTTCGTGAGCCGGTGATTGCGTGTTCAACATCCTTTCTTTCTATCTTCCGCTGCCGTGCGTACATCATTTTGGTATCAGAGCAACGCTCGACCCAACGGCCGTTTTCCGGGTGAGATATTTCCATTTCATCGCTTGTTATATCCATTTCATATGAACCGAAAAATCCAAAACGAAAAACCTGATTTAGTTCGCTTGATAGGACTGATTGCTCTTGGTTTTGTTCGCAGCGAAAAAAGGACCATAGTCTAGGGAGGGACAAACGAATTAGATCGTCGATCGAGGCCACGCCATCTACGGTTAACTCGTACCCTTACTTGCGTTGCTTTCATTGTAAAATCGAATTTGTCCTACTACGTGTGTGCGTTGCGTGTTGCACGTTCATAGCTTCGTCTCGATTGCACGTTTGATTGAAATAAATTGCTGTTCACTTTAAGTGCTTGAATCGTTCGTATGTTGCGGGCTGCTGTGTCATTTACATTCCGTTAGCTGATCAATAGTATTCGCACGTTCATTGCTTAGCACGTTGTGTGTGATTCGCTTTGCACGTGTGTGTCTCATCTCAGTATTCGCTCACTGTTTGTTTGTTAGCCATTGCACGTTGAGTGATTGCTCCTGGATATCCACGTCTATCATTTACGCTCTTGCACGTTGATTGGGATTCGTTTGCGTGTATAGTACGTTACGTGCATATTGCGAGACTTGAGCGAATTATAAACATGAGTGCTCACGATGCTTCCAATGAGGGATTGGAGATAGGGTCGTCTAGCAACCAAGAGATTTTCCGAGCCCTACAACAAATGATGGAGCGTATTTCTAAGTTAGAAGGATCTAGACCGGAAACCCAAACCATTAGAGAGACGGAACCTAGAAACCGAGCCCCGGTAGATCAACCTAGACCTCGACCACTGCACTCACCCGAGACCCTTAGTGATGATGAGAGTGATATTGCCCCTAGAGTCCGAGCCCGAGCTAGGGAGGATGAGAGAAACCCCGAGCGCCCGGGAAACCATAGACAAAGACCTAACGACCGACCTAGACCTCGTGAGAGAGTCATATATGACGAGGAGTCGGACTTTGACGAGAGACCGCGAGCGAGAGGTCACAGAGCTAGGGTTAGGGTCGATGACGATGAGTCCGACCATGAGGAGATACCTAGACGGAGAGTGAACCCTAGACCGAGAGATAGACCTCGTAGGTGGGCAGACGATGTCGAGGAAGAAGAAGAACTAAGACCTCGACAACCTAGAGGGCCTAGTAACGACCTTAAGCTTAAGCCGCCCCTCTTCGTAGGGAAAGTAGATCCTGAAGCATACCTAGATTGGGAGCGCCGTATGGATAACATCTTCGAATGTTATGCATATTCAGATCGACGGAGAGTCCAATATGCCGCTGCTCAATTAGCAGAGAATGCGCTAGCTTGGTGGGATCGGGAAACCACCGAGCGACGACGAGCTCACATAGAGCAAGTTGGGATTTGGCGTGAGATGAAGGTCATTATGCGCAAGAGATATGTTCCTCCGCATTTCCACCGAGAACTTCAAAGGAAGTATCGGAAGCTAGCCCAAGGAGCTAGGCCGGTGGAAGAATATTTTGAGGAGTTCGAACATATTAGGAGTCGATTAGAGCTCGAAGAGGATGAGGAAACGGTGATGGCTCAATTCTTAGATGGACTCCAAGAACGTATCGCTCGTAAGGTAGAGCGCCATCCTTACCGTGATCTCCACGAACTCCTACATTTAGCCGTTCAATTAGAAAAGCAAGATCAGAGGAAACAATCCCGGCTAAGTAGAGTAAGATCCCAAGTAGGACCCTCGTCATATTCACCAAAGCCTTCATCTGGTCCTAGGAAAGAAACGTCCGAGGTTAAAATCTCGCGTGATCTCCGGGATAAAGGAAAAATCCCCGAAGCTTCACGAGCTCCTAAACCACCCGTAGATAACCCTAGGGACACTCGATCTAGAGAGATCATTTGTTATAAGTGTCGGGGTCGTGGACATATGGCTAGAGATTGCCCAAACTCTCGTGTAATGATAATAATGGAAAACGGAGAGTATGAGTCCATGGATGAGGAAGAAGTTGGTGAACCCAACGAGGAGATAGAATATCCTGATAGCGGGGAACTTTTAGTGGCTAGAGATTGCCCAAACTCTCGCGTAATGATAATAATGGAAAACGGAGAGTATGAGTCCATGGATGAGGAAGAAGTTGGTGAACCCAACGAGGAGATAGAATATCCTGATAGCGGTGAACTCTTAGTGACGAGACGTGTTCTGAGCGCCCTAGTTACTCCGGACGAAATTGCCCAACGAGAGACCATTTTTCACACTCGTTGTACCGTCCAAGGGAAAGTATGCGGACTGATTATAGATAGCGGATCATGCACGAATGTCGCAAGTGCATAAATGGTCAAGAAGCTCGGCCTAGATTCCGAGAAACATCCGCACCCCTATAAACTTCAATGGTTAAACAACAGTGGGGAAATTAAGGTCACCGAGCGAGTCAAGGTACCATTTAGTATCGGACGGTACCAAGACGAGGTCACATGCGATGTTGTCCCAATGCAGGCGGGACACATGCTACTCGGTAGACCATGGCAGTTTGATCGAGAGGTCAGCCATGATGGACGAGCGAACCAGTACTCTTTCGTTTATAACAAGAGGAAGATTGTACTCGCACCCCTTAGTCCATCTCAAGTGCATGAGATGCAACTAAAGCTAGCTAAGGACACCGAAGCGAAGAAGAAGAACTTCTACCTTAAAGCTAGTCAAGTCGATCGGGCTGTTCGTCAAGAACAAGCGGTACTTCTCATGGTTTTTAAGGACGTCATGAACCTAAGGACGGAAGTACCTACCGATAACCCCGCCATAAGTCGACTACTTGAACGATTCCGAGATGTGTTTCCGGACGAGATTCCGGCAGGATTACCACCCATCCGGGGGATCGAGCACCAAATCGATTTAGTACCCGGTGTTCCTTTACCTAACCGACCCGCTTACCGAATGAACCCAGAAGAGACCAAAGAACTCGAAAAGCAAGTTCAAGAGCTTATGAGTAAGGGTTATATTCAAGAGAGTCTTAGTCCATGTGCAGTTCTAGTACTATTAGTACCCAAGAAGGATGGAACTTGGCTGTAATACCCCGAAACCCGATTTGAATATTTAATTATTAAAAATGAATAATTAAATAGAGATATCACGAAATCACCAAAAGTGATGGTAAAATATCGTGGAGAGGCACGATGATCGTCACGTGCGGAAGGGACCGAGAAAGAATGAAGAAAAGGAAAAAAGAAAAAAAAAACAGGACTGGTCCGCCGGACCAGGAATGGTCCGCGGCGGACCAACCACTCCGTCGGAGCCAGAACGGAGCGCGCAGACTGGGGG